GTCTGAGAGGGGAGACCTCAATCAGATGGTTGTGGTAGCTTCGATTGAGTCCAAAGAACCTCCAGATGAAGTCTTGTGCCCTAGTGAATTGTCTAGATATGATTTCGATCAAACTCGATTTCAGGTATTGGCCTAAAGCTATCCTAGAGGTTGTTTCAGAGGGGGCTTTGATGAGGAATCAACTTCTTTCACTGTGGGGATGGTGTATGCACAATTAATTGAATTTTGGTTCACTGTGATGGAGGGATCTGTTCTTGTTTTAGGGCAAATTTCAGTGAGGAAATTGGCTCAAAGGGGTGGCTATGAGTGGTTGAGAGCAAGGGGATTGTACTTGGGATGGTTTGGAGAGGCTACGGGGAGAATTTGGCAGAGGTTGCCCATTTCCCCAAGGTTTCAAGAACACTTTTCCTTAGTCGTGGAAAGGTTAATTGAAAGCCATGGCTGGCTGGGGGGGCGCCGGGGTGGGGGGTGGGGGCGTTGGGTGCTAAAGCATGTTGTGGTGGAGGGAAGAAATTCCCAAGCATCTAATTAGAGTGAGCCAAGTCAGGGGGGTTTAATTTTGGGTTTTGGTCAATGGGGTCACCTTTGGGCTGGCTGTTTCCGACGGCTGAGGTGGTGGATGGCCAGAGTCTAGTCACCTCTGAGCTCAGGGAGGTCAGGGGTGGCTAATTATGATTAACTCCCAAGGGTAAGTAATGATGACAAAGATATTACAAGTTTAGGTCAAATATGGAGTGAAATTCCTTAAATCAAGGGACCATTGGTCCATAGCTCACCTTGGCTGGTTTAGGTGGGTCTAGCCTGATCCATAGGGTGTACTTGATGGTTGTGACTTTGGGATGGTTAAGTCAATTTTGGTGCATGGGTTCAATTTGGGTCACAATGACTAGAAGTTGGGTTTGGGTTAGGCAAGCCATGGTATTGAGCTCAATTGATTGATCAACTTGGTGTAGATGATTGTCACAAGAGGTTTTGAAAAGGTTTAGAGTAATTTTGAATTGATTTGAAGGTTCAATTAGAGGGATTTTGAGCATTTGGTCAATTTGGGGGAATTGGGTTAGACTTGGGTCTAGGTTGGACTAAGGTTGGATTAGGTCCAAATTAATGGTTGAAAATGGTCTATAGGAATGCCATGAAGAGTTTTCAACATCAATTGAGTGTCAATTTTGGCAATTGAGTGTCAATTTTGGTGGATTTTGGGGATTGGGTTTGGGGCTTTCATTTTGGTGGAATTGGGGACAGCCGATTTGGGGCAAATTTAAGGATTTTGAATGTGGGTTGAAATTTTAGGATTCTGAAATTGAGTGAAATTGAGCCTTGATCAAGGCCAATTGAAGGTCAAATTTGATGCGTATGATTGTTAAAAAGAATTTGGGATTCAAATTGGGGCAAATTGAGTAGGATATGAGGTTCAATTTGGTGGGATTAAGTCATAGGGCCAGTCATATGACCAAAGTTGGAGTTTTGATTTGGATCAAAATTGAGCTCAAAACATGGATCAATTAGGCTTATATTTGGTTTGGATTAATCATATGAAAGATGAATTTGGGTTTAGAATTGAAATTGGGGATGATTGGGGCCAAATTGATGGATACTTGAGGTGAATTTGGGGAAATTGAGTTTTAAAGACAATTTGTGGGTTTTGGTCAAAATGGTCAAATTGGTCAAATTAGATTCAATTGAAGGGTCCAAATTGGTTTTGGAGACATTTGAAGTGATTTTGGATGTTTTGAGAATTTTGGAAATTTTGGGTGATTTTAGGCAATTTAGGTCTTTTAAAATGGTTTGAAATGATTTTTGAACTAATTTGGGTATTTTGGGTGAATTTGAGAATTTTGGCTAAATTTAGGTTTTCAAGGGCATTTACATAATTTGGATAAATTTATGGGCAAAAGGCCAAGTTGGATTTTTTTGGTAGAATTGGGGTGCCAACCACTATGTATGAGCTATGGACCAATGAAATTCCTATTTGGGTCTTCTATGTACTGGTCTTAGCTAAACCCTAGCCTAGGGTTAGTGGGTCTAAGGGACCATCTACACGAGTCTCCTAAAAGATCAAGGGATAAAAATCAAAAATTTTGGGTTTAGAGTTGCAAGTGAATCTAGGTAATAGTGAGTGTAAGTGAGTGAACTAGCTCCATACCAACACCCACTAGCTCCACCTTGTCAACCATCACCAGATCAGCCAGGGTTAATTCTAAGGTCTGACCATCCTATGGGAGACTCAAGACATCCTCCATACTGATCCCATCTACTAAGTGCTAGAGGTTATGACCAATATGTAGAACTTCAAGTTGAGCAAAGAGGAGTTTAGAGTTTCTAATGATGAGGGTTCCTTTTCTAATTTTCTAAGAATAGTCAATAGGAAAGTCCTATGACTAGACCCTAGTGTCACGGACAAATAATCCCACACGGCTAGGTGTAGAGCCGAAAAGCAGTATTTAAGTTCTGGGCTGCCCACCTCTCTTAAGGGCTCTTTTGGGAGGTGACAAGTGGTATCAGAGCAAATTACTGTTTGTCAAGTGTGTGGACTCTCCATAGACCAGTGGGACCCTCGGTGGAGCCGATCCGTGACGCGGGCGCCCCGTGATTGAGGTGAGAGTCACAGACAAATAGTCCCACATCGGCTAGGTGTAGGGCCGAAAAGCAGTATTTAAGTCTTGGGTTGCCCACCACCCATAAAGACTCTTTTGGGAGGTGACACTAGGCTACTAAAGAGAAAAAATTAAACCTTAACCAAAAGTGAGGTCAATAATGATCCTTGAAAAATCCATGAGAGATATTTGGGCACAATTGTATACGCTCAAGATAGTCTTGATCGAGAATCATATGAGGCAATGCTCACTTCATTACAATGTATTGAAATTCAACATAATTATAATGAACCAAATAATTCAATTGCATATAGCAAGGTGACAATAGATCGCATCATGCATCAACGAGATTGGGGTATAACTCATTTCCAGACTAAACAGACTGAATTTATTCATGTAAGTAATCAGAGAAAATCATTTCTTTTTAATTACTGGACCTATGTCCAAGCTATAAATCGAGCTTTTTTGCTCATTAACCCAAGACAAACATTCTTGATTTTTTTGTGTTAATGGCTGAAATTTTGAATAAATAAATACCAAATTGATTTTTAGAATGGAGGGCAAAATTTGGAGCCACCAATGAAATCCTTTCATAACCCATCAATAATCTCTATCCAACATGGTTAACTCTTCTCCTCAGCTTGATAAAATAAAAAATAAAATATTAGCTGATGAAATGTGTGAATTATTATTTTTCTGTCAAGCACAAATTCCATGAATTTTTACTTGGAATCTATGTCATCAACAAGATAGAGTCAATGTCAAAAGCTTATGACATACCTTCTTCATCAAATGATGGTTACAAATTGTTGTTGGTGATAAAATAATTCAAATTAATAAAGTCATTAATTCTAATGTTGAAAATAATCAAGAACAGAGATCCCAAGAATTTTCACTTAAGAAAATTTATGAACAATTCAAAAGAAAAAATCGTCGAGAAACTCCGGAACAAATTAAACAAAAATACAATAACTTTATCAGAAACAGATGAAAGAATTATTTTCAGAAGATGACATGTTAGTCTCTAATCAAGGGTCAGATGACGAAGAAAATTGGGAGCGAATAATGACCCACCTCAACTCAAATTAATGACAGAATATTATAGTAGACCTCCACTGAGGTCACTTCAGAAGAAATTAAGGGTAATAATGACGGTGGATGAAATAATATCGGTTGGTGGAATAGTGATTGCAATAATTCTGATTTGTGTAATAGTATTTTGAAATAATTTTTCGCTTTATGTCACATCCGTGGATGTGATATTTGTTTAATTATATTGTATTAAGTTTGGAGTTCGCCCGCTATTATAAATAAGGGCTTTGTTTTCTTTGTTGTGGAGCAAATTTCCTTCGAGTCCTTTCATTGTAATATAGAAACGTCCGTCCGGTGTGCTTTTTAAGTCTTGTGCTCGGTAAGATTCTATTGTTTTTAATATATATATATATATAGTTGATGAGTAGTATTTCGAGCCAAAATGAGTCGAACACGAATGAACAAATCTTTTTTCATGTTCGACTCGTTAACGTAGCGAACGAGCAGAACACGAACTGTTCGCAAACAACAAGCCGTTTTGACAGCTCTACTTGTCATCCCTTAATTTTTAATTTTACCACTCTTCGCCTTAAGTTCCGGTTCCGCGAGTGCAGGTAATGACAAAGAGTTGAAAAGATGTATTCTGGAAATGTTTCTTTTCAATTCAATTGGTGGTTGTCATGGATATAACAGAACACATGAACAAATCAAATTGTGTAGAGAAAGCTAAGTTGTTTTAGTACATTTGCGCTCGAATTAACTATCTCAATCTTGAAGAAAGTGAATGATCATTAAGGATTAAAAAGGTTGAATCAACATTTCATGGATTCGTTAATATTTGAAACAGAAATTGGTTTTTATATTTAAGGCTTCTAAGGGTGACAGATATACATGGCAAGAAATTAATCATGATGCTTTCAGTTGAAAAACTACATAACTTTAAAAAGTGGAGAGGTGAGTGCACTATAAAAGCTAGAATTATGGTGGTTTTTTTACTGAATACAAAAATATGTTGACGCAAGTGTGTCTCTATATTTAAGCAAGAGAAAATTAAAAAAATATATCCTCAATAATAAGGACAAATCATAAATTAATATTGTAAATATTTATAATAAATACTTATGATAATATTGATATGATAATATTTTTAAGGGGCATTCAGAAACATGCCAACTAATTCCAATATTTACATATCTAACAACTTTACTTTATACAATTATACGAGCCAAATCTCTTATATCACATCAAAATAAAAAGTGAAATACGTCTTTTCATACATAGCAAAGTTGGTATGTATGTAAAAATTGAAGTTTAAGAGTTAGATACGTAAATACATGTACATCTTCCTACTTTTAAATGTAATAACATCAGTTGGATGGCAAAATACATTTAAGATGGAAGTATTTGCGACAATGTTAGAAGTAAACATACCAATGACAGCCCACTTCCTTCATGTCCAGTAGCTAGAAAAACTTTTGGAAGTCTCAAAACAGGACCTATCACTGGTTTACCATCAGGCACTGAAATAAAAGGATTCACAACTTAGCCTAAAATGTTTTCCCATCATATGCTTTAGAAAAAGCAATTCATTTTAGTGTCAAAAAGAATGACGAGACAAAGATGCTCACTATAGGGCCGAAAGCCCACTTTTATCTTTCCGTTCTCATTTAGCTGGAGAAGCAGATCGTTTAAAGCAGGAAGAAATTCGGAAGCACGCTCTAAAATACTCTTGACTATTTGTTTATCTACTTCTTTGCTGAATCCAGAGAATTCGCGGCTGCTTCCTAGAAAAGAAAAATAAATAAAAATTAAGCAATTAAGTATGAACGTTATTAATGCAATAAATCTCACAGCAGTAAGTAAAAAAGGCCATAAAAATGTTCTAAGAGCTGAAATAGACGTAAATTCTAGACTGCAAAGTAACCAGAAGAATCAGATCATGAAAGGAATAAAGTAAGAAAGTTCACAGTAAAGGAACTAGATGACAGCTCTAATATATTATGATGCAAGAGGCAGATAATGCAATATGATGTGCTAAAAAACAAGCCTGTCATAAATTTACCCAAAACAAGATTTCCATTCATATCAATGGTGGCAGTCATTGATACAGAGGACAAGTGCCGCGTATTCTCAACTGGTTGAGAACTGGCAGATTGATGAATGATGTAACCAACCTCCATTAGGCCATGGTTTAGCTGAATGCCATTGAAATTGTCAGAAACAATAAGGTGGCCCTGTAGATTAGAAAAGACGGAACAAGAATTTTATTGATTAGTATTTGCAAAAAATGTGATCTCAAAGTGAGGGGGAAATGAGAATGAATAAAAAGGAGAGGGTTGTCTGCCGTTATTTTTGAAAAAGAAATGAATGATTTTTGTAAATATAAAAATAGTTTTAATATAAATATGATTTTTGAAAGTAATATTTTAATTTTAAAAATAGATGAGACCAAACGAGTTTCACATATTAAATAGTTTAAACGGTTGAGTGCGATACCACAACTAATATACTATCCCGAAGGATAAGCATACCTTAACAGTAGACTCAACCACCTAAACTAAGAAGTTTGTGACATCCGTTTGGTCTGCAAAACCTTTTATGTATGACCGACAAGTTCCCCTACCTAATATAAAGATAAGATAAAGTTTATTTTACCTGGGTTCCAAGTTTTCTATAGAGGCAAACACCTATACTTAATTACATCTTAAATGACCGGAGTTACTTAAGAAGACTCTAGATTAAGATCAGTGGTTTTACCTTCAAGATTTCAAAGTTTAGCTTTCCAAGATTGGACACGGGAAAATCAAACGGGAGTGGCTCAAATAGGAACAATTATTTTAAGAAATCCAAAGGAGCGAAGAGTGAGGATATCACAGATCCAGGGAGAACCCCGGTGACCTCCCAACTATTCTATTGGTTGACTTTATGTCTTTGAAATGATGTTATTTAATGTTTAATCCTGCAATTTACTTTAGAATTAAGGACTTACATTCGCACGATATCTGATCGTGCAAATGACCTAAAAAGATAGAAGGATTTACAACATACCGTACGGTAACCTCGGAATCCTAAAAGTGTTAGAACTTATAATTGCACAACAGGGTTGTGCAAAAGCCTAAAGATAAGGTGAGGATTTATGTCGCGCTAAGCAAACCACCTCAAAATCCTATAACTTGTTATTTAAACTAAAGAAAATGTTTAGTTGACGTGAACTTGTTTTGATGTTGCAGATCCATCTCAAATTTGCTTTTCTGTGTGTCCTCGTCATGTTGCTCACGGTGTTCGCTCCAAACTCCCTATCGTAGCACCTTCGGATTTAATGTTAATTTTAAAGGTACATGCAATTGTTTAGTCAACGATCTCCTGTCGGGTACCTCCTATGAAACCAACTACTGGCCTCTTACTCTAAGGTGTAGTGTGTAAGAGAAACAGTAGCAGATACAAGTATAATGACAAAATTTAAGAAGTGAACTAGCATGCATTGTATCAACAAAAGAAATACCATCTAGAAAACTCAAGAAAGAGCGGCAAATGACCCATGACAAAAGAAAACTCGAGAAAATCGGCAAATGACTTATGATGGAAATCTCGAAGCAAAAAAAACAACAAATGGTAACTCAAGGAAAGTTACTGAGAACACGGGAGGATCCCGGAAAAAGACCACGAGTGCTTTACCAAAAGTTAGAATAAAATCCCACGAAAAAATCCGAAGAAAGAAAACCGCAAGCACTTAGGTCAGGGCTAAACTTAGATATTATATATCTGTACTCGAAAGACGTCGAAGGCTACTATCGGTCACCCGGATATATAGAACCCGCCACTCAACTAGAAGAGAGTCCTACTAAACATAACTTAAGAGGGTATTCCTTAGCTCGGTATTGATAATCAACAAGTAGACAATCAAGTTAAAATATATTTAAAATCTATATTTTAGCATGCACATGGATTTCAGGCATACAAAAGAAGGTTGTATCAATTTTGTAGTAAAAATATTTTTAAAAAAATATTATATTTATTCTTATCATGTTCTGTTCTTATCAGTTTTGAAAAGTTATGATTGTTCACGAGTCGATCACGCCGTCGGGCGGCGGGGTTCCAACAATTGCCAACAACCTAAGAAGGTACAGGTCCCCCGCTAGACTTGTGTTGGTGAATGATACTATCATCTTACAGTTTATCGGGTCCCAGGATTGGGTCCTGATGTCGTAGGATGAAATATCATTCTGCTCTACCACCGGCATGTCTTTGTCATTATCGCCCTAAGCCCCAAAAACAAAACTAACATACTTGCAACAATGTTTGATGGTTTCATATATAGCAAAAAGCTATATATGAGCACTTATGTGTCAGACATAAGCACCGAAAACTGAACCATAAGCACCGAAAACTAAGCACCGAAAACTGAACCAACAAGCAAGAAAGAAAAAATAAAAATGACGATGAGAGGGGAGAAATTGATCCACCCAAAAGATCGAGAAGATGAAGGGTGAATCAACCCTCAAAACTTGTAACGAAAGGAAGACCCAAGATCCTTGAATCAATCCAAGAAGGATATTATTTTCTCAAATCTTATAAATGGATCAACCCAAGAAGGGTATCCCTTCCAAATCTTGTTTCGAACAGGTCAAAACGGGCCCGAATCAATGTGTCAATTGTATGCAGCGGCTCCACCGCCACCTATATACTCACACACCCAAGCCTAAACTCAAATGTGACATTTATGTTATCCAAATTTTAATGTCGAACCTACGACAATTTTATGAGTTTTCAAATTCTTTCCAAACGGCAATCTTATTAGTTTTCCAAAAATAATATTTTAAAGTCTTTCAAATTTCATAAATCGAATAAGGGAAGTAATCCACAAACGACATTCTTTAAAATTCCTAAAATCTTGCAAACAATAAAGCCGTCTAATTTCAATTTCAACCACAAGATTTCCATGTCATATAAGCATGAAATAATACAAATAAAATCATATAAATGCTCACGGCCATGGGCAACAAAAAGGGACAGCCACCAGCCCAACTTAACACATATAGAAATCACAAGACAAGGTTCACGGCCAAGGCAGCAAGAAGAAGACCACCACCATTTAAGCTCCAGGGTAGGGACAACAAAATGACAGCCCACATCTCAAACTCACGGGTAGGGGCAGCAGCTACAACGAGCCAAAACTAAACCCCAAACCAATTTTTTAAATTATTTGGAATAGATCTCCACATGTATTCGAATAGGGGCAGCCAAGGGGAGCTAAAACCAAGGGCAACAAAAAGGCAAAAACATAGCCACATCTTAACCAAAACGAGCCTAACAGAGGGGGGCCAAATATAGAACAATATTCCAAGTAAAACCCAACCCAGAAAAAGAACCTAACCAAGCCAAATTCCAGGTGAAACCGAGCCTGATCTCAGGCCAAAAACGAACCCAACATAAGAGTTAAATCGAACCCAGCAAAAACACCATTCCAAGCCAAATAGAGCAGAATTTCAGCATTACCGAATAACAGCTCAGGCAAACCGAGCCCAACAGGAAAGGGAAACAAAAAAAAAAGCATGACAGATAAACCGGGCCCAGCAGGAGGGGTAACAGAAATATCCATAACAAGTACACCCGAGCCCAATCAAAGGAGCAAAATAAATAAACATAACAGGTAAACCCGAGCCCAACAGAGGGGCAAAACAGAGAAAATTTTCCAGCATTTATTTGGACAGGAATAACAATAATAAAAAACATCAATATTTCATTTTCAGTATGAATTCTAGATGAGCAAATATCATTTCAGAGTTTATAACTGTGGTTACCCAAATATTTCGAGCAGAAAAGAAACGCAAGCAATCCTTTCCCCTAAAATTACTTTTCCTTTAACAATAAATTGATTCAGCAAGGAGAAAAGAAAGAAGGGTACAGCTTTCAACATATAGGTATAAAAATGATAGAAGCATAAGAAGAAGATTTGCATATGACAATGGATCAAAACATGCTTTCCCTAAACTGCTATTTCAACTAATCAGCATAGAACTTCTAAATCAGATCTAATAAAAGTATTAAAGACCCAATACTTGATATCAATGCAATTACGGAATACCAGTTAAGACAAAACAAAGTCTCATGTATGCACTCCCTATTTTAACATCTGCAATATGTGTCGAGCAGGGTAATAGAACAAAGAAGAGAAGGAAGAAGTACCTTGCTCGAGATTTCCTAAAAGAAAACAACAGAAAAAAGAACACCAAGCTTCCAAACACCCAGCACACAAGGACCTATCCAAGAAGGAACTTCGGCAGAGCCTTCTTCTCCTAAAAGCCTCAAACAGCAACTAGCAAAACCTCAGTCTTTTTTTCTCTCAGAAAATTTTCAACAACCTAGAAAAGTAACCTAAGAAGCCTTTTTATATGCAAAAATGAGAGGGAGACAACCACCTACCAAAAGCTGGGTGGTCAGCCGAGAAGAAGGAATCGTCAGCATAAAGGAGGAATCGTCAGCATAAAGGAGGAGAAGGTAAAGCCTCGAGAAGAAGGGTTGGTCAGCCGGGCTCCCACGGCTGCATGCACAGGGACGAGCTGAGGGGCTGCTCGAGCCACGGGATCGAGTGGGGAGCTAAGTATGCGGGTAAAGGGATAAATAGGGTTTAAAATTATAAATGTTATTATAATTAATAATATAAATATAAATATATTTAATATTTCCAAAATAATATTTGATTTGTACATTTTTATTCATGCGTCACAGCATAACAAAATGGATGTCCTTTTTAGGAGATTCTGACATTCCAGACGCGTTGGCGTAGTTCATTTCGTCATCGGAGGTCGTTTTGACGAATTCATCGATTTGCGTGCAATTTGCTCGTGTGCGGAATTATGTCAATATGGGTATCTTTCCTAGCTAAAATTAATGTCTCGAATGCGTTAACGCAGTCCATTTCATCATCGGAAGTCGTCCGGAGAAGTTCGCATTTTCACCCTGTTTAAGCTCAATTCTAGTCTGATTTTGCGCAACTTAGTGGATTTTGTGCATTTTATAAGTGCTGATAAAGTCTTGAAGAGGTTTTCTTAGGGCTTGAGATCCTATTGGGAACTTCTCCTTGAGTTTCCACATGATAATCCTTAACCACTCGACCATACGACAATGATTTTGAGATCATCAATGCGAGACATCACAAGAGAAATAAGAAATGACTGGAATTTCTAAGGAGATGAATTCAAATACTAGTTTTCTAAGATAGTCAATAGGAACCTCTAGAGCTAGATCTTACGATCCTAAGAAAAAGAGTAATGACCTCAAAATGAGGTCAACAAGGGTATACTTAAAAGTGTTGCTTTTGCCTAATAGCCTGAATAGATTTTCATTAGAAGCACTGAGGGTAAAGTAATAACAGTTGAAAACAAGATATGGAATTTCCCAGAATTGAAAACAAACAAATATTGATTTGGCTAGAATTGAAAACCGTTGATTTTCAGAATTCAACAGAATTATATCTTTGATATGAAAAAGGGGATATAAATATCCTTACATGAATTCTAGAATAAAAAAAATAAGAAAAATAAAATAACAAGAAAGAAAGATATAACAACTTAATCTTAAATTAAGCAATTTCTAATAATTACTTGGAGATAAATGAAACAATATAAAATAAGAAAGGAAATAAATCCAATCCTCATAACAACATAAAATAATAAAGCATAAAATAAAAAAGAAAATTAATCTAATCCAAGAAAATAAATTTAAAATAGAAAAGAAAATATTTTGAATACAAGGAAATAAATCTAATATTCATAACTTCTAACACGATTAAATTATTTTCTAACACGATTAAATATTTTCTAACATGATTAAATTATTTTCTAATATAACTTCTAACACTTTCCCTTAAGTTGAAATATATATGACAACCATGTTCAACTAGATTTGAAAATATCAAATAATGGGCGAGTAAAAATTTTTTGTGAGGTAAAACTTGAAGTATGCATTTCGTACTTGGTAATCAACCCCAAGAACATTTAGGGATAATTTTAGTTGACCGTGGGTATCTTTGACTGTAGTTTCTACAGTGTCTGTAGGTAAGTAAAAGACTCTCACAGGTAACGCTCAAGAGAAATTTCCAAAGAAGTAGGCAACCTGCATAAAAAATTGACTTCTAGTTGAATGCGGTTGTCTTTGATTGTAGCTTCTGAAGTGCGTGTAAGTAGGCAGAAGACTTCTACAAATAATGTTGTAGGAAAGTTTTCGGGAAAGTAGACAATCTAGACGGAAAGCTGTCGGGTACGACTGCATGGAAAAGGAAGAACACATGCATGAAAAGTTGCTAGGTATGGCCTGCAGGTAAAAAGGAAGAGCACCTACAGAGAATGCTGCAGGCTATGGTTTGCAAAAGAAAAAGAACACCTGCAGGAAAAGCTGCAGGGTATGGCCCACAGAAAAAAAAGAACACCTGCAAGGAAAGCTGCAAGGCATGACCTACGAGTAAAAAGAAAGAAGACCTACAGAGAATATTGCAGGGTATGACTTGCATGAAAAGAAAGAACACCTGCAAGATAGAGCACCTATAGGAAATGCTGCAGGGTATGGCCTGTCGGAAAAGAAGAACACCTGAAGAAAAAATTGCAGGGTATGATTTGCAGGTAGAAAAAGAAGAATACTTGTAGGAAAAGCTGCAGGGTATGACTTGCAGAAAAAAAAAAAAATCTACAGGGAAAGCTGCATCTACAGGGAAAGCTGCAGGGTAAAAGCTGCAGGGTATGACCCAAAGGTAAAAAAGGAACAAAAAGGAGCTTGTTGTAGGAAAAAGTTCCGGAGGAGGGCTTGATACAAAAAAAATTTTCAGAGAAAGGCATGTTGTAGGGATTGCCTTAGGGAAAAACTCCAGAGGAGGGCTTGCTGCAAGGAAAAGCTCCGAGGAGAGCTTGCTGTAGGGGAAAGCTAAGGAGGAGAGCCTGGTGCAGGAAAAAACTCAGAAGAGTCTGTTGTAGAAAAAAACTCTAGAGGATGGTTTGCTGCAAGAAAAAACTCAAAAAGATGGCCAGCAGCAGGCAAAAGCTCTGGAGGTTGGGTTGGTATAGGAAAAAAGCTTCGGAGAATGGGCCTCTTGAAGGAAAAATCATCGAAGCCTTGTTAATCACAGTAGCAGTTATAGTGTTCGAAGTGATAGCATCTTCAGTCAGGCCCCTGCAGCTTCGTTAGGGTACCACACTACCGCCACAAGATACACACAGTGGTGAACATAATAATCGCTGACACTATCAAGCCTCCCTCTATCGCTCCTCTTAGATGCCCCAAATCCCTTGCTGCCCATAATATCAGCACCGAGCCCAAGCCTCTCTACCTCGAGGCAGAGCCTTTCCTTATGTCACGATCCTTTACAATGTGGATCTTAAAGGCGACATGAGACTCAACAAGCGGCTGGGTGAGATGATGTTCTTTAGTGATAGTGAAGGCATTGAAATCTTCCTCAAGTTCCTGTTGCGAGTGCTCAAAGCCAACTTCTTTAGTGGTAGCCACGGCCTCCAAAACGGAGAGGTCTATTGATCCCCAATTAGCACCATAGATAACAGAAGTGGAGTGAACATGAAGGAGGATGACGACATCATCGGGTCGAAGGTAGTTATGGACAACCCAATTCACAGTGTACGCGCTTCTTCGTTCAGATCTATAATGATCGCAATTCGATGATGAGAGACTGTAGTTGGGTTCACCGCGGCCGCGAATGAGAAGAAGAGCCACGGTGATGATGATTGAATCATTTATGCTTCGGCGATTGAAGTAAAGGCTACATGGAAACGACAAAAACTACAGAAACCTGCTGAGAAACAACAGGGAAGCCTGTAGTAGCCTGCAGGAAGGTTCAACGGTAGAAGCCAGCATGAAAAACTCAGCAGCAAGACTTTCCAGCCAGCAATGGGAGAGCCATCAGTGAATCCAGCGGCTGAAACTTGCAGGGACAGGAGTTTCCAGCGTAAAGAAGTGGTCGGCGGCTGGAAAAAACAACAGTAGAAGGCCTGCAGGAGGTTCCAACGGTTAATTCCCACAGGAAGGAGTTCCAACAATAAGGGCCTGTAGGAAGAGGAAGTTCTCGAAGTCTATGGCCTACAAGAGGGAATTCTGGCAGCGGGAAAGACTACGGGAGGAAATTTCAGCAGAGGGGCCTACATGGAGAGAAAGTTTCTGGTGGAAAAACTGAAAAGAAGAGACAGAGGGAGGGTCTGCAGCACGACAAAGAACGACGGTTGTAGGGAATAGAAAGTTTCCGGCAGCAAAAGACTCTATCATGTTGATTTTCAGAATTCAACGAAATTATATTATTTATATGAAAAAAGGGTATAAATACTCTAACATGAATCCTATATTAGGAAAGACAAAAAAAATGAAGTAACATGAAAGGAAAGATATAATACATATATCTTCAATTAATCAACTCCTAATGATTATTTGGATAAAGGAAACAACATAAAATAAGAAAGAAGATAAATGCAATCCTCAAAATAATATGAAATAGGAAAGCATAAATTAGGAAAGAAAATTAGTCTAATTCAATAAAATAAATCTAAAATAAGAAAGGAAATAAATCCAATCAAATGAAATAAATATAATCCTTATAACTTCTAATAAGAGTAAATTATTTCCTAATATAACTTCTAATAAAAATAATTAACTATCTCGGTCAAGGAAGCTGCAGCCAACAGAGAAAGTTTCGGAATAATGATCCTTAGTGCTAAAGACAGAACATAAAAAAAACCAAAAGCTTTTTAATCTTAGTAAAGTCTCATTTGGTGGAAAACTAACCACAAAAAAAAGTTAATATTTTGCATAATACGCATAAGAAAAAAGTGGCAAGGATGTTTTTAATAGTGTTGGATAGACACAAAAATGATAAGAAAATAGAGTATTACTTGGGTGTAAACAAGCCAAACTTGAGTGAGCCCAATATATGTTTGTGTTCGGCTCGTTCGAATTTTTTTTGGTTCGAAATAAGCTCGTGTTTGAAATGGCTCGTGAATAACGTGTTTGTGTGTGGCTCGATTCGATATCATGTGTTTGTTTCAACTTGTATTCGGCTCGAAATAAATTATGGAATAATAATTTATTGAAATTTAATAAATCAAAAATAAAAATATTCAATTTCAAAAAAAATATTTTAAACATTTCCAGAATAGCCGAGTGCAACAATAAGTTCTCAACTAAGTGTGCTTTATTTTTATATTTAAACATCGTTGATTAATAATTTCTTCCTGATTGTGGTTTCGATTGTGGGACTAAATGCAGAAAGCACATGGGGTGACACTACAAGGCAAACAGGTCGGGATTTCGGTAAAAATTCTATGGGCATTTACATAAACACAACCCAATTATTATGTAGTTACATGACTAAAGAAAACACATAGGAGAAGCATGATTTGGAAAACTTCTAGGGGCATGGGGCATTTACATACATACCACCCAATTCTTACCGAATTCTTATGTATTTACATATCTACCAACTAAGTTTTGTTTTTTATATTTATACAAACTGAATTTTTGTTATCATATGAAAGATACACCTATTTTAACTTTAAGTATTATTTATTTATTATTTAAATAATTTGAGCTAAAATGAGTCGAACAAAAGTTTAATCATGTTCAACTCGTTTATAAATCAAGCTCAAAAAATTGGTGTGTTTGGCTCATTTGCTTAACAAAAATATTGAACACAAGCTATTCACTGACAGCTCTTAAGTATGAGCATTATGTGCACGAGTGATGTCACTACTCATGAGAAGATTAATTGCATCCACAACAACCAATGACAATCTGCAGCAAAATTAGATTAGAATGGTGTAAATGTAAAAGCTAAGCTTTTCAATGAAATAAAAGGTGCATAGGATGATTTCTAAGAAAACCTTTCTGGGCTTCACAGGTACTGGGACAATGCCAGTCCCAACAAAAAGGCTTTGCATCAAACACCCGCTCCAAGCACCAGCCGCAATAACAAGAGCCTTCTTAAAATGCAGGATGTTCTTAGAAGTACGAATAGCATCATGTACTGTATTTATTTCTGATCTGCATGGTGTTAGATAGTCAAATAAGTTGACTTGTTATGGAACTAGCAATTCAAGGCAATAATACATTTAATAAAGTCAACTTCATGATGAAAGGGCACAACGATAGAGACCTGACTAAGCATAATGCAGGGTCATTGTAGAACTCAGCGTATCTTCCTCCAGAGGCAAAGCATTTATTACCCTAGCACAATAGTCCGTTTGCATCAGAAGGACCTAATTAACTGCACCAATAATAATTAGCAAATTGAATTTAACAAGGTACCGAAAATTATTTCAGGGTACCTTTTCAATGAAACTAACAGTTTTAAAGGCATCTATCTGACAATCATCTAGAAAAAATGCAGCACAACCTTCTTTTCCAACTTCAAGTGCAGGCTCCCTAGAAAGCAAAGAATTTGCAGACAAGAATTCTGCTCTGAGCCCAGTATGAGAAAGAAGCATGACTCTTTCCTCCAAGATGGCTCGTTCTTTGGAAGTTCTACCAATTAACAAGCTTCCTGTTAATGGCAAATGCAGAACAACATTCTCATCTCTAACACAAACAAAAACATGAGTAGTTAATTCTTAAAAGCGTAATAAGAAATCAATATGACTTTATTTGAACAAGGGTACAATCTAACAACAAAGATAGTAAACAACATGCTATTTTAGGAATGCTAATGATGATGAGCACCAAAGAGATGGGATAAGGCAATGAATTCATGAACTCATAAATTAAATGATTAACAAAGAAGGCTTTACAACCAATAATACTTTAACAGCATTATAGTGCCAATGTGTTAAAGAGAAAAAAAGAACATAATGAAAAGTTGAGCGAATGACAGTTGGGATACGCTCATTAGTTATCACAGTCATGAATGCTTTGTATTGAGCTCTACATTAACCATAACTTTTATCATTTTATTTATTTTCAACAAACTTTGAAGTTACTAATGATGTCAATTGTTTACCTGGTTTCTACTGTTTTCACACAGGTCTTGAATAAGGCCGTGAGTTAATGAAAAACTCCCAAAATTCAAAGAAGACAAAAGATGAAGAACCTATAAAGTTTCAACTACTAGATAAGAAAGAATCATGAAAAGGGAGATCAAAAGGGTACACCTAACAAGTTCTAGAACATTAAACATTTCATGGCCCTATGAAGGTTAAGGGTCTATTTGGGACCACTTTCTGAATGTTTTGCATTTTAGAGCACCACCACAATTTTGTTTGGGATGCTGTTTTATGGAAATTTTTGTGATGGAAAGCTTTTTTTTTTTTCCAACAAGATCTGTTAAAGTGCGGTGGCTATAAGAAAGTTGTTGCTTGATTTTTTTAAAAAGGATATATATTTACAATTCCCACCGCAGCTTTCTAAGAAGTCATTTTCTCCACCATAATATTACAATCAACTTTTTAAAAAGCTGCAGCCGCCACAAATAGAACCTAAGTGATGAGTTTCGCTACCATGCTCTCAAAAGCAAGTGTCCACTATAGATTCCTTATTATAAAAATACTAGAATAAGCAAAAAATATAGTAAAAGTATCAAAATATGATGGGAACGTGCAAGGATTCTTCAAGGGAGTGAATAGCAAATTATTTCCCTATATTATTAATTATTAGGCAATGCCTACTAACTAATGGTCAAGTTAGACAAATGTTTGCCAGAATATGACAGAGAACAAAATGGTAAAGTTGTAAGGAAAGGGTATATGAAGTACCATAAAAATCCTCACAAGTAAAATATTTTGGCTTTCATTTGGGGCTCATCAGCTTAATACTTTGGCCAATTTATTATATTCCAATAATTAAGAGTCAAACAAGGCCATAAAAGAGTTAAATTGCCTTTGATGGCCTATTTATTCTTTCGACTGAAATTTTTGTTTTTTTTTAAATTTATGTTAGGCCTATATATATTGAAGTTTTATCCATCCAAATTGCCTTACAACATCATGTATATGGTTTAGGTTTCAAATTCATTCAGATTAGGACATATTTAACCATCAATTATAAGGATGCAAATGTTCTGCCTATGCTTGAAATAGGTTTGAAAAAAATTCAAATATATTCGAATTAAATTTAGCTTTAGAAGTAGCTATGATGCAACACATGATATTCAAATAACTATCAATTAAGCATCCTTAGAATCATAATTTCTTTCATAAAAGTCATGAACATCATTAGAATCATTGATTTCATTTTTGTATTTCTCCATATGATTATGCAAGTTCCTACACACAAACTCACAAACAAAATCAGCAGTTTAATGCACTTAATCATTTCCTTGCAAAAATCTTTGAAAAAGATGCAAAAGTAGTTGATTTCTCCTTAGCCTCCCTATTGCCGGTGGTGCTAAGCTCATTTACTTTAACAAATTGATACACTCATTGAATATTTAGTAACCATGTAAAACACATGACAATTAACATTGGTCAGAGATTGAAAAGCATGCTTAAGCGATGGAATGTGGTGAAGTAAAATTTCTCTCTTGAAGTCAGGTCACCAACCAGAACTTTACCATACAAATGTTGTTTTAAGATTTTCAATGTTATCAGAATGCTAAAACATTTCTTCAAAATTTTTCATGTATTTAGGTAAAATTTTGGCCCTTGTTTTAATGAATTAAGTTTATTGAAGAAAAGTTCAAGATATGATGAAAAAAATAATTCTTTTAGAAATTCTTTTATATCAACCCAAGTTAATATTTCTCTTTGCCTCTTCATGCTCAACAAATAAATTCTACTTTGAACTGCTAATTTATTTTAGTACATCTCATTTATCATCAAGAAAATATGGTTTGCCATTCAAAAAATCTTTTACAACTAATAAACTACCAACAACCTTAAGAACATGATATATAAAAAATTCAATTTAATTTTTCTAGGTTTGTCATCAAATGGGCAAAATTTTGACTCCTATGTTTTATGTAAGCATCATTGTTAAATACATTGAACTTTTTATCAAGATGATTCTTTTGTTTTTTGTCAGAATTAACATTTACATGATTCATTCATTATTGTAATTGGAATTTGTTGAATCCTGATTTGTTCGTGAATCACACCCCAAGGGTCAGAGCATAAAAAAATGAGAGAGAGAAATGAACAGTAATAAATAGTAAAATGTCTAATCTATTAGCCCATACTCATAAAATGATCTCCCTATTTATGAAGAAGAGTATACAATATATGATATTATATTTTTGCCCCGGCTTTAATGGGCATTGTACATGATATTTTAGATATTTTACATGTACGAGTCTATTGCTCAATTGCCTTTTAACTTAGTCGGCTGGACTTAATTAACTTTAGGTCGGCAGGACTGACTTGATCAGCTAATTTTTGTTGATCGGTTGATCTAGTATGACTATCCACCCTCGATCCTGGATGAAGAGCTCCTGCCGCCAGACAAGACTAGACTATCGAGCAGAAGATGAATCACCGTAACCCGATAGATAGCTCATTTCTAAACAAGAGGATCTTTTGGGATGATTGTAAAGTTCTATTATATTGTCAATTCTTGGTTTCTAATGAGAAAACTAATGTGCATCCGTGGGACGGTATATGGTGTTGAGGAACTAGATTCATTCCTAGTGTCACGGAGAGGTAGGTTGATGTCTTCGCTCAGCTTTCAAGTGGTAGATAGCTCGAGTGCTTATCTGTCTTGCTCTAATATGATCGGCTCGGACTTCGATCGTTCTTTTTGTCCTTATCCTGGCTCGGCTAGCCTTCATTCTTGGTTCGAAAATTGGGTCAGTGGGGCCTCCTAGTTTCCATTCGGTGAGCTCTCCTTTGTTGTATTCCCTTCCTTCTGGAATGTTGGATCTCCTCGAGATTCATGATGGCACATTCTTGATGTACGGAATCCACTTCAAACATGGATTTAATTGGTTTTCAAATTACCGATCTTTATTTTACCCATATCAATGACATCACATATTTGATTTTGTTTAGTTATCAACTCATTTGCGAGATGATTAGAATTTTATCCATTTTATGATATGTTAAACTATCTATACAATTAGCCTTACATCTCATGCAACCTAAAGCTCTAATATCAATTGGATGCAAAAAAAACTCAAGGTTAGATTTCCAAATATAAGTATGATAATGGCGCAAAATTACTTGTTGTCAATAAGGAGCACTAAGATCTTACTACAATTGCATATTGAAATAGATTGACCCCTTAGTCACAAGGAGGACGAGTCAATTGGAGTTAAGAGGCAGAACAAAGATGGAATTAGAAGACTTTGAATGAGACAATAATTTGGCCAAAGGTATAGATTTGGATCATCAAGTTGGAACTTCAGCGGAATATATAAAACGCATGCAAAGCACTACCTTGCACCCCACGGAATTAAGTTGAATAATTTTCTCTTTACACATGTTAAATTAAATATTACTTGCATGCATGAAGCGCAAATCTACTCTTCAAATGAAAATAGAACATGCAAGAACTGATGGCAGTATAGCTTGAAAAAGACCACAACATTTTAATCATTTTCAACAAGCATTAATGGACAACCCTATCCGACTAAACTTATAGGATCTCAAATGACCGCATCTAACATAACATAAACCTCTATTACAAATTTAATGCATAACAACTCATAGTTAGGGTTTCTAATGAAATGAATATGATGCATGTTGAAGTCATTGTTGTTTTTTAAGAGTACTAAGGATGTACTATAGCTGTCTATTGAGCCCAAGCATTAGGTTCATAAATTCTCTGTAGTTTACAAAAAACTAGGTTGCCTCCTATGACAGAGAAGCGGTGTTAAAAAACAGTAAGAGATAAGATAGGCATGCAATCAAAGAAAGTTGAGACAAAGTTGTGGCCAAAAACACAAAATTGTGTCATCAAGTTGGCTCTACTGCACATTATAGGAAAGCGCATGGAAAGTATTATCATGACAATAAGCTGAACAGTTTTCTACTTACACATGAAACTATGATGATCTCACAGCCACAAACAAAATTTGGTTAAATTAAATTCTACTCACATAAAAAAAATACTAGTTCTACTCATCAACTGGAAATAAAAAACAAAACAAATAACGGCAACATGGCCAAACAAAAGGTCTTAGCATCGGTTCCTTTAAAGACCCAACTCCAAATAAACATTCTTTTCCACAATTGGATAACTGAGGCCAATCCCTCTGAGTAAATTTCCTTACGATGATCGGCTCTCCTCAATTGGATAACGATCAACAATATACCATTATAATTAGCTCCATTCTCGACCCAACTTAAACTTTAATGTTGATTTAATGTAGAGTGTCTTAGGGTTAGATTTTCAAATGCAACTAATATAATGTGTGTTAGATTTAATAATGTCCATAGCCAGTGCTAAAACTTACTACAATGCATATTGAACCAAAAGGTAAAGTTCATAAATTCTCTTTAGTGGATTAAAGTTTATATGAGATTTGGTTAACCCAGTAGGCATACAAAAGGTGAGCCAAGTTAAGATACGGGATAAAGATAGAATAAAAGAAAGTTAATTGAGAGAAACTTTTGTCCAAAAGTAAGGATTTGCATCATCAAGTTCGCACCATCACTCAATATAGGTAAGTGCATGCGACGCATTACCTTATACAACATGACGTTAAGTTTAATAATTTCCTACTTACACATGTAATATGTTAGCCATGAGCAAAATGTGAATTGATTAAATATGTAAATAGGAGAGTTTTGAAAGTTATGTATTACTGTGACCAAATGATAACGGAGAGGGAGAGACTCAGAAGAGTGTTATTTTTATGTTATTTGAAGTATTGACTGTTATGTGAGTGAAAATTGAAGCATAAACGCTAAATACTTAAATCCCCCCTTTGAAAAATCGTAAAACTAAATTTAGGGGAAAAAAAATGGAACTTTGTAAGAATGGAAGAACTGACCAGTTTTTTTCCACCCAAGCACTTGCAACGGATCCAATCCCTTCCGTCGCACACTCTCCGCCAACTCCTCCCACAAATGCTTACTTCTCAAAGCTAGCTCCCATGTGTCGCTTCCAGGAGTTCTGTGCGCCATCCATATATAGCCTTGCCCTGAACTCAACAAAGAAATTGACGAAAGAATGGCACTACAAAATACCCTAAATCAAAAAACAAAATGACCAATAAAAAAGAAGTTCAAAAATCGAGCCTCACCGGCGCCAGTTGCGCCAGAGCAAGGGAGGCCAGCGTCCACGACGGCGACGGAAAGTTCCGATTCGAGCAGCAGCTGGCGGGCTATGGAGAGGCCGATGATCCCTGCTCCCACGACAACAACGTCATGCTCAAATTGCTGGAGGAGGGCGGTGGTCGCATGGATTATATCACGTTTACGCCTTAAAATGGGAAAGAACTTAAAGAATTGGGAGCGTCGCCGCCATTGCAGTGCTGATGCAAGAGCTTTGGAGGTTGAATTTAGGTCAAATAGCTTTGGAGGAGGAAGAACGAATGAGTTCATAGCTCCCAAAAAAGCGAGATTGTAAGTAGGATTTTATATCATTAACTCTGGGAGATCTGGGGCTTTGGAGGAGGAAGAACGAATGAGTTCATAGCTCCCAAAAAAGCGAGATTGTAAGTAGGATTTTATATCATTAACTCTGGCAACAGCATCAAATATAAATGAAGTTAAAATTTTTAAAATTTTGACATTAAGTTCAATAGAACGTATAACTATGGGAGAAACTGGATTATCTTATTTTTATCATATAATTTTCTTTTCAAATAATTCTCTCTTCTAAATTATGAAAATAATTCAAATAGGAGAAGAACTCGAAAAAAAAGATGTACAATGAAAATAGGCAAATAATTAAAAAAGAGTGAGGAGAACTTTGATTAGGAAACCTTCGCGCGATAGCTCAAGAACGTATATCCAAAACTAGATTGGACTAAAGTGAATCCTGACTACCCTAAGACCAAAGGAAAGAAACCTCTAATTTTCAATAACTCTCTAAGAGGTAGAATAGGAAAAGGTGGGACGCATAGTTGTCAATTAAATCATGGAGATGCCTCTAAAAAGGAAAAGAGGAGAGGGTTCCACCCAAAGAGCTAAAACCACCTCACAAAGGACTTACACCCTTGCTGGATCGGGGGAGCCTCTAAAGGCCTAGTTGTGCTAGACAACATTCTAGGTAGAAAGTTTATGTTTATCTTAGTCGATTGAAGGAGCATGGGGACTCCTCATCGAGACATGCAAATAATGCAATAATTTGCAGTTAAACTTAAGTGTGGAGGCCATATTAGAGATGATTTAGGTGATTGTCGTGTCATGTAGCATATTTTAAAACTGGCCCGAAGATCATGCAAGAAAGTCAAGTAGAAAGTAAATTGCTTATTTTAAAGTCGGGATATTTTAATCCTAAATATTTTTATTAATCTTGAATTTTTATTTATTATGAGGATTTCCAAAAGACATTTTTGGGTCCTTAATCGGCTTAAAATGCATTTTTTGTATGAGCTCGGACAAACCATAAGCTTAGAAAGAGAAAATATTAGGCGCACTGCACCATTATAAATCAAGCAAAGTAAAATAATAAAAGGTCGGATGTCGCTGGGTTAGGCTCCGCATATATTTGTCTGATCTTAAGACTATACAACAATAGAAAATTTTAAGACTTAAGGTATGGTATACAAGTAACTGCTCTTGGTCCCCTAAATGTGGTTTGGTGCATCGTGCGCCTCGAAACCCGTGTCTGTACCTTATTTTTGATACATATTTTCCAAGGACTCTAAAATACATATGAAAGTCTATGAAAAACTTGATTTGCATAAAAGGGTTAGCACGGTTTATATTTACGCAACACATAAATGTTTTGTTTTGTTTTTTCAAGCCATTTTATTTGGTTTTGGTGTGGTTGTTTTTTTGTTTGGGTTTTTGTTTTATTTTTCATGCCGTGTCATTTGATTTTATTTAGTTAGGTTTGTCATGTCATGTCATTTTGTTTTATTTTGTTTTGTTTATCATGTTTCTGTTATTTTATTGTCTCGAGGTTATGCTTCAGAATGTCATCCTGCAAAACAGAGTTAGCACACTCTATAACACGCAAAGTAAATCTAATGCGCAATTTATTTTATGTCTAATGAACCTGCAAAACAAAGCACAATTAGCATGAAATCATGTTTAAATTAGTTAATTTAGTTTATTGAATAATTTTTAAACGACCCGATCAAGATGTATACGTCTCTGTCGTCCCAGGGTCGTAAAGTATTCAAATCTACTTAGTCCGAAAGGTGTTTAAACCAGGACTGGAAGATTTTTGTCAGCAACCACAAATTGTGTTATCCAAGAAATCTTCGTAGATCTAAACATGGATGTTCAAGCTGTGTTTGTGTTGGCGCTATTTTTGGTTGGAGAAGTTGCCCATAAGAAACTATCAGTCACCGAAATAGAAATCCCGTCGCCCGCTTCGGAAGGACATTTTAATTTACATATATATTTAGTTTTAGAAAATATAAAATCAAACTGACCCAATATTTTTCATAGTTTAAATGAAAGAGCGTTGTACCTCAAATCATATATCTATCCCGAAGGATAAACACAAGCTTGAGAATGAGGCTCGATTAAATAAACTAAGGAATATATGACATCCGTTTGCTCTGCAAAACCTTTGTATTTACCGATAAGTTCCCTTATTTAATATAAAGGATTAAATAAGGTTTATATTAAGCTAAGTTCGGACATGCTTCATATAAGGGCAAGCCCCTATAGTTAATTACATCTTAAATGACCAAAGTCACCTAAGAAGATTCTCGATAAAAATCAGGAAATATATCTTCAAGGAGTTTCAAAGGGTAGGACTTTTTAATGAGATCGGACGTAATGGTATGAAAGAGGATTGGTTCAAGTTTGGAACATTTTGTTGTAGCTAGGGGATGTCATGGATCAAGAGGAGAACCCTGGTGACTTCCCAAGCTATCCTAATGTTTGGCTTCATTTCTGAGGAGAAATATTTAGGTGTTTCATCCTGTCAATTTTATTAGGATTTGGGCTTACATTCGTGTGAAACTATCACACAAATAGCCTGAAAGATGTGAGAATTTAGGTCGTGACAAACGACAACCTCGGAATCCTAAGACGAGTTAAGGCTTATATTATATAACAGGGTTATACAAAAACCTAAAGATAAAGTGAGGATTTACGTTTCATAAGCAAGCAACCTCGAAATCTTATGACTTTGTTGCTTATATCTAAGGAAGGAAGATTGGTTTAGCTGGGGAAGACATGTTTTGCTGTTGAAGATGACCGTGCTGCCCACCATGCTAGCTCCAAGCACCTTGCTGTGACGAGTTTGAGTTTTCTAGTGTGTCAAGTTATGATGTCAAAACATGTGGCCCTATGGTTGAAGTTCTTTAAATTTTATGGGGGCATGTTAAAGTTGATTAGAGTGACACCAGTTAGGATCCTAAGGTTCCCTCGTTCTGAGACCACTATTTTCTATTTGATTTACTTAGTCCAAATGAACTTACTAAACTCAACTTAATGAGTTTCATAATTTCATTTAGACCGTGGGAAGCCTCGTCAGCAACCCTATGTTACCTCCTCTAAGGAATTCCCGATCATCCGATAGAGACATCTTAATTTAGTTGCAATTGTAGTTTTGTGTGATGTTTGTGATTAAACTTTAAGTTGTTTTATATTTTGAATGTTGTGGCGGTGAATTTTATCTTGGTTGATTTTAGTTTTAGTTTTGGTTTTGATTTTGTGACTATCCTGATAGTTTTAGTTTTCATGCAGGTTGACATCGTTGTTTAACATGAAATTTTTTGTAAGCATAAAAGTATAAGAAAGACGATGCTGAAAACTTTAAAAGTGTACCCGACGAGTCTTCTCGTTCCACCTTCTGAAACTTAAAATGCATGTGAGGGCAGTTTATGTAGAGGCAAAAAAAAGTAAGGTTTTGGTAGTTTTTCTAACCCTATGTCATATCTTGGTGGGTCCTTAGGAGTTTAATTAATGATGATTTTGTCAAGCAAAACATATTAAGTTTAGTAGATCTCTGAGGTATCCAACAGATCTAGAGAAAAAAATAGGTTTGTGCTACTCTCTCGCTGCCTGGTGGAAAATCTCGAGTTCTTTTAAACATATTATGTTGCTTAATAATTCATCCTGTAAATACTCTTAGTGCTCAGTGAGCATTGATGTCTCAATTATCCCAAGAATAGGGTAATTATCACTCGTAATTAAATTTAAGAATTATGTGGGTGAAGACCCTTAAAGAGGCAAGTTTATAAGACTTAGCCAAATTTTGACTTGGGCTTGTAGTGTTTGAAAGATGTTCTAATTTTCAATGATGTTTACTTTTATAATCCTTATTTAAATGAAACTTGATTTAGCCTAAGTCACTACTAAGCCCTTAAGATTTTGGTGAGTGTCTTAATCATTGCAAATGAAATTATTTAGTTTTGAAGATTATGTGGGTGAAGACCCTTAAGGAGGCAAACTAGTGTTATTGGAACACTTAGCCAAATTTTGGTTCTAATTAGGCTTGTAGTGTTTGAAAGACGTCATAGTTTTAATTGATATTTACTTTTCTAGTCCTCGTTTAAATGAAACTTGATTTAGCCCAAGTCACTACTAAGCCCTTAAGACCTAGGTGGGTGTCTTAGTTAGTTTTGAAAAGGTTAAGCTTTAGGTGGTCATGATTCATGCTTTCAATTTTATTTGAAAATAAAAATAGAGGTATTAAATTGATCAATTATTGACTTCAAAAGTCATACCCTAAAGTCCTGGGCTCATTTATTTTAATAAACTTCCAAATTTTAATAATTTAGAAATTTTTTAACTTATCTTTTCAATTAAGAAAGTGAGGTTTGTTTCTACCAATTAACCCTTTGTGTTTCAAACATCCAAATTATGATCATAGGTTGCCTATTTTCCTCCTTTAATTAAGCCTAAAAGTTAATTAAGGCTAAATTTCCAAAATTACACATTTGACCCTAGGCTCTAACACTTCATAATTTGTCAAATTCAATTCAAATGACTTTAGAAATTTTATCCTACCTCACTCATGGGTCAACTGAGACATAAAAACCTAAAGATAAAGTGAGGATTTACGTTTCATAAGCAAGCAACCTCGAAATCTTATGACTTTGTTGCTTATATCTAAGGAAGGAAGATTGGTTTAGCTGGGGAAGACATGTTTTGCTGTTGAAGATGACCGTGCTGCCCACCATGCTAGCTCCAAGCACCTTGCTGTGACGAGTTTGAGTTTTCTAGTGTGTCAAGTTATGATGTCAAAACATGTGGCCCTATGGTTGAAGTTCTTTAAATTTTATGGGGGCATGTTAAAGTTGATTAGAGTGACACCAGTTAGGATCCTAAGGTTCCCTCGTTCTGAGACCACTATTTTCTATTTGATTTACTTAGTCCAAATGAACTTACTAAACTCAACTTAATGAGTTTCATAATTTCATTTAGACCGTGGGAAGCCTCGTCAGCAACCCTATGTTACCTCCTCTAAGGAATTCCCGATCATCCGATAGAGACATCTTAATTTAGTTGCAATTGTAGTTTTGTGTGATGTTTGTGATTAAACTTTAAGTTGTTTTATATTTTGAATGTTGTGGC